ATGCAAAATGCGACATATTTTTGTATTTTTTTATTAATTTAGCAAATAAACACACACAGACAAATACAAAATATCACAAAATATCACAAAATTGCACACCAAAGAAAAATCAATTTATTTTTAAATTTTTTGGGAGTAATTCTCATATAAGGCAAAAATCACGTGCTTACAGTGAAAATTTAGCACCTTTAAAATATCTATTTCTTTAACCTTTTTGGGGGAGGTTACACCGGTTCAATTAGCATTCTTCATCATGCGATGGTGTTTGACGGTAAATCAGTCATGTGCCCTTTTTTCCTCATGTAAAACTTCACTTTCCCCTTTCTCGGTTTTGGATGTTTCACTTTTTTCTATTTCTTGACTTTTTATCGTTGGATGGTTTTCACTTTTATTAGTTCTAACAACCTTCACAAAAACAGCAAACAACAAAAAGGACAAGTCTAACAAACAAATGAAAATTTTAAGGGTGCTAAATTTTCGCCTTTTTCAAAAGTATGGAACGACCAAGATGAAATTTCCATAGAGGTATTATTAAGTTTCAAAAAGAAAAAAGACTTAATGTATAAACAAATATGGTTGCATTTCATAATTATATTATAAACTCTCTTCTATTTCGAGAATGACTTAGTTAAGGGAATGCTTGAGAGACTTTTGTGAAAGGAACATTCACGGAGGAGTCCAGTAACACTACTTCATGGTGTTATTCTAGTTTTTTAAGAAAAATCTGAATGCTTAACAACATGTTTCTGAACAATGCAATTTACAAAAAGTCACATAACAAAATATCTGAGTTGAGGCTTTTCAGGGGAGAATCCAGGATTTTCACCAAAGGAATTCAATATTTGAAGAAGCAGAGAAATTTTTCGAAAGAAGTGAATCTGCGAAATATTCTAAATCAAGTTAACAATTATTTAATAAGTTAACTATACATACATCAAACAAAGACAAAGTTACATAACACAGACTTTTATATGATCAAACAAACACATTTTTAGTCAACTAAACTAATTCTCTAACATTTAAGCACATTTAAAACTATTAAAGTAACAATCTAATATCAAAGTATCAAACTAAAGATATAGATGGTTGAATATATGGCCCTCAAAAGCTAGGTACTTACCGATTTGGTTTTCGTTTTTCTCCATGGTAAACTACCAATACCAGATAACCAGAGCACACATTAAAAATCAACACATAATTATTACAAAGACGGTCGAAGATTTGAACCTTATGGGTTCGATCTACCAAAACAACCTCAAGTTAATACACAATTATAACCGAACTAAGAAACGAGTACCAATATTCAAGATATATTTTAAAAGAAAGGAACCACTTAAACACAACATATGAATATAAACATTATCATTACAATTATACTTGACGACTTGTCATGTTTTAAGAACGACCTATGATTGCATCATTAGGTATACTCTAAGTTGCTCGGACCCGTCTGCAGGTGTCCAATACGGATCTAGAGATCCTTCATGATCTAAATTTTAAGATTCGGTGGTAACCCAAAAAGGTACTGGGGAGAGGTAATTAGGCAAAACTTGGTGCTGCTTCAACTTACTAAGAAGGATGTGAAGATTGAAAATTAGGGTAGAAGGTTAGGAGGTAGTCGACAGTTTCCTCGTCCAATACCAGTAGTATTAGTAGCACTCTTTCATATTCTTAGAGCTCTATTAAGACCATGTTATTTCGTTCGCTTCAGTTCTCTTATTTTCTTATTGTTAATGTTTGATGCTACTTCTTCTTTGTTCTTTTTCTTCTTGTTCCTCGTGTTTCTTCTTCTTTGTTCTTCTTCTTCTTCATCTTTTCTCTTCTTCACCTTGTCTTGAGCCGAGGGTCCACCAAAAACAATCTCTCTACCTTTACTAGGTAGGAATAGGGTCTGCATGCACACTAAACTGGGTCTGTAGTTATTGTTGTTAGTGGTGGAATGAATCTAGATACGGATACAAGTATGGGGATTCGGCTGAAAATAATTCAAAATCTAAAAATATAGTTATAAAAATGTCTAAATTATGAGACATTATTTTGAAAATTTACAAAGTATTCCGATAAGGAGAAAATAGTGATCCGTAGGAGAATCCGAGAAGGAGATAAAAGGAAAAGGACTGACATAGAAATTTCTATATATAAAGTATTCCATTTTCTTCAATTTCCCTTTAGCTTTTGTTTTTATGTCAAAAAAGTTACTGTATTTGTCCCAAATTTCTCTGTCGATTTTGGTCGAAGTATCTAAAATTGGTTGATCATATCCGGTACAGATTTCACACCCACACCCAGATCATGTCAAAAAGGGTGCGGCACCGAAAGTAAATAGTCCGAGCAACTTAGGGTATACTTTCAAATTTTTCATCCTCTATATAACAATCTAAACAGTCATTCAAAAATCTATCACCAATTCTACTTCACAAGTCATTTTTAACACAATTCATTGACAAAAAGCTTTTTCCACCGTCGCAATAGTGACATGTGATATGAAACTTAATTTCACAAACAAATAAACAAGTCCTCAGGACTTAATAAAGATTCATTTCAATCTTCAAGCAATGTCTTAGAAAGATTTCCAAGTCCTATCAACTTAAAGAAACCATTGTCAACCTCTCACTTTGTCTTGAATCAAGTACAAAATTCAAAGTCATTAGAGCTTTCTACTTTATCTTGAATCAATTTTTTAAAAAAAATCACTTAGTAGAAGGAGGCATCAAATATGATATTTATATATACTATAGTTTTTTCTTAATATTGTTTACCATGGTGCCAGCAAGAAGGGGAAAAAAGGTTGAATATGTAGATAAGCCACGAAAAAGAAAAATGATAAAGATTTGCTTGGTAGCTTCTAATATTTTGTGTACATATAATAATTCACTATGGTTTTCCTATGAAAATAATACCCTGAGAATTTAGTTTTTGTGGGAAGGAAATGCAGACAAAAGGAAGTTTGGAAGAATATATGCAAGCTTAGGTTTGAATTCCAGCAATATATCAAACTAAATGCTAGCAGTGTTCTAGGACGAGTTTTTCTTGGGAGACGGAAAATTAAAGGACAAATTTCCTGAGTTTGTATAGCTTAGTTGTAAACAAAATATTGTACAAATGCTGATTGTTATACTGGCTCAAGGTGGCATTAAAACTTCAGAAGAAACTCTAATGACCGGGGAAGTGGAGGAGGTTAGCTAATTGTTATACATTTTGGAATCTATAACCCTCAATTTTATTTTATTTTTGATTTGCATCGGGTGTCCGAGTCTCTTTGAGCCCGACTATTCCTGGGGGTGCACAGGCCCTCGGCAAGGAGTTTCCCGCAAGTGCACCACGGTTAATTCAGGTTTACCCAGTCCGATGGCCCTCAGAAATTGTTTGCACCCAGTGGGTTTCGAACTTGAGACCTTGAAAGGGAGCAAACCCCAAGGCTCAAGTCAATTGCCACCAGGCCAACATTTTAACAGGTTGGATTCCCAAATCTGGACAGCCACTAAAGATGTAAGATTCTCAATTAAAAGCTGTTATACCATACTACAGAAACAAATAGGGCAGTGGGATATGTCCTGGCCTTGGAAAATATTGTGGAGAACAAAAAGCACCTTCTAAGATTGCTTGTTTTGGCTGGTTTGTAGCAAGCAATGCATGTGTAACTCACGATACTTTACAGAAAAAGGCTTCTCCCTTGCAGTAGGTGTTGGTTTTGTGAAGAAGCTCAGGAAACTATTAGCTATGCAAACAAGACGGATTTCTTTTTCTCAACATCTGCAATGTGCAGCGGGTGATGCCTCACAGTGTGAAAAATTTACTGGAGAGTTGGCAGAGTCAGAGAGTTGACAAAAGACGGAAACAGATCCGGAAAACGAGCCCGTGTCCATCATGTGGACAATTTGGCTAGAGAGGAATAGGAGATGCTTTCAAGGATAAAAACAACACATTTCTTTTGTTAAAAATAGATGTCTTCAGAGTCTATATTTCTGGTGTAGGAATAACAGGGTAGAAAATTTGTCTTGGTATGTTGTTTTTTTGGAGTTTCTGGGGATGAATCAGTGATAGTATACTGTAACTTTTTCTCTTTGTATTTTGTAGTACCTTCTTGGTACTTCAAACTTTCTTCTCTTATCAAAAAGTTTTGACTCTAGTTTTTCTATTCAAAATGGGTCAACATTGGAAGATATTGTCTTAACATCACCATATCCTCAGTGCCCATTTGCAAGAATGCCAGGCCAAACATCCCCAAAACTTATGGAAACTCAATTGTGCACTTTCTAAAAGGCAACACCTAACCCCTCTATGTTCCCAACCCAAGACAAGAATTGATGATTATTCGACATAAAGGTACAATTTATGACAAAAAGTAAATTAAGTTCCCTTTGACCAAGAACAGCTGGTAACTAAATTGTTGCAAATTATTTGCAGGATTCAACACAAAATAACCTGGCAGCTTCATGTAACAGACAGCTAGGATTATATTGAGGGTAATGAAGAAATCTCCCAGAGCAGCATACTATATACACAAAGGGAAAAAGGACAAAACTCAAAGTATCAAGCATAAATCTTTTTTTTAATGATAGTGGTACCTACTACTTCCTTTCTCTGCCCACTAAAGTGTAGGCAGATATTCAAACCTCTTCTCATTAACTTATGATCAAGCATACTCTAGTGAGGGAAAAAGGAACAACTAGGAGACGAGAGTTTTAATGTTTCAAAGCATAAAAGTAGACTAAAGAAAATAAAGCACATTCCTTTTGTTTTTCAATAAAAATAAGAGAGAAAGTAAATAATTATCTCATCTTGCAAATACAGTACCAATGAGTTGCGGCAGCGGCAAGATGCGAAGACCAGTGGCAGCAATCGGTTGTTTGGAAATGTGTTTTGGGCGGAAATAGAAGAACTGAGGCTTAAAACCCTAAAAAAAGAAAAATGAATCGACTGCCGTACTGGGTTTAGTGTAGAACAACAGAACTGAAAAGAATGGTACTACTGTAGTGTTAGGATAAAAATCAAAATATTGTGTATGTCTGTATTTGGTATATTCAATGACCATGATATATTTTTTTTACTTTTCGTACCTATATAAAGGCCTTGTAATATATGGTAAAATACACATAATTGAAGAAGAAAATCTCTTTTTTTTTCTCTATCTCTATTTTTTATTCATGTTTTTACTAAATTGTCTTTATTTTTTGTTCATGTTTTACTAAATTATTTTTATTTCATAACACGTTATCAGCACGAGTCTCTAACCAATTGTATATATATCTACAAAAATTTTCCTACATCCGGAAAGATTACAATTAGAAGTTATACATATCATCACATGGTAAGTAATGAAATGTAAGAAGGTATGATTATCTTATACTTGTCATTCCTTTAAAATCTCATATGCACACAACTTCGTACTACACCTGTATTGTATAAGCACATATTAATATTACACCTTTTATATCACATGAATGAAATAAATTTTTCGAAGTTCTATATGTGAAAATCATAGTAGCAGTTAATTGTTGATATGATGCATGTCATGGTAACCAAGGATATTTTATATAAAAAAAATTTATGCATATTTGTGTGTTAATTATCTTCAATCTGTCCTGCCGCTTTTAATATTTTCTTTTACTTGGATGAATATTTTTTTTCCCTTTTGGATTTTTACACTTGCATATAGTACCAAAAAAATAAAATAAAATTTGTCATACTGATTAAAAGCATAAATCATCTTGAAGAAAACAAGAAATACTTCACATCTTTATTTAGGTTGATTAATTACTTCTTTGAAATTTGGAAAACAAACCAGCTATTGAGAAAGTATACTTCATAATTTATGGTCGTATCATTTGAAAGCAAACAATGATTAGTATGATTATTAGAAGAGGTATTTTTGAGTATTCATAACCTACTTGATGCTTGCTACTGACTTACCATTTTTAAGTATTTTATATGAATGATGCACAAGCTACAACTGGTAAGTTGTTACCTATAATGTCACTTTTCAGGTAATATAAATGTTGAATTTATGTATTTGTACTATATATGTGTTGTTACCTATATGGTGTACTTTTAATAAATTTATTCACTAACTGCTTGGTTGGATTGAGTGAAGGAAAGTCATGGCGTTAAATCAAATCCAATAGGTAGGGTATACCCCGAAAACAACAATATTTTTTAGAGAGACTTAATAAATATTATGACAATGATTTTATGATCCTTTTGAACTCTAATAGAATTTAGAAGAAATATTCTGACTGCAAACGGTTGTATTTCATATAGATGCTACAAATAATTAATAAAGTTTTATATTGATTTGAGATTTGTACACTTATTTAAGAATGCAAATTAGTTGTGTTTAACTTTCTTGGCATGTGATTGAAATTAAGGTGTCACGATCCGGATTTCCCACCCTCGGGAGTCATGATGGCGCCTACTAATGGGAGCTAGGCAAGCCAAACCTTAACTAATTGCTACACTTTCATTTTTGCTTCCTTTTAACAAACACAAGTCGATAATATGATAAAAACGGAATTTTAAATAAATAAGCGGAAGTCAACAATTATATATCTTAAGGCTACGTCTATTACAACTTTTAAAACCTCAAATACCCCAAAACATGATGTCACAGTGTCACAGACTGTCTAAGAGTTACTACATACAAGGTCTGAAGAAATACAATACATTGTTTCTGAACAAAAGGAAATGAAACAGGAAATAGAGATAGAGGGAGACGCCAAGGCCTGCGGACGCCTGCAGGTCTACCTTAGGCCTCCGGGTGGACTGAAGGAAGCACTGCAACTACTGTCCGAAAGCTGCTCCTGGATCTGCACACAGTGCAGAGTGTAGTATCAGCACAACCGACCCCATGTGCTGGTAAGTNATATAATCAAAATGTGCACGGCATCACCCTTTATGCTTTTACTCTCTTTCCTCACTATATAATCAATAGATTCGACACGGAATGGTATGTTGTGCGGCACGGCATCACCCTTCGTGCTTTATACTCTTTCCTCACAATAACAAACAATGCACGACATCA